TTTTTTTTTGTAAATTTTGATACCCTTTAGATCATAATTGCTCTTTATTTCATAAATTACGTTTCATATTTTTAATTGTATAATTCTGCTGCAATCTTACCAGATTTAAATGATGTATATAATCTGAATAGCCGAAGGATTACGGATTAGAGGATTTGTTGAAAAAAAAAAAAAATAAATAAAGGCCAATTAAAAATAAGGGTGGCCCAGATTAACGAAAGTCAAACTAGCTTCAGATATGGAGTACATCAATATTCGCGAAAGTAAATTGTCAAAGAAATACTGGTAATTTTCTGATGGATCCAGAAAATATATGTATTGTGTATGTACATGTATTGTGTGTATATGCACATACATCTACATTTCGGTCGGCCTTAGAAAGTACTAAAAATTAATGATAACATTGCAAATCAAAGCTAAACTAGGTCAAAGTAGTAAGGTACATCTCCTCTAAACTGTTTTAATTCACAAAAGCTGATGTTCATGGTATCAGAAAGTAGTTTTCCAAGGAGGAAATCGGTAAGAGAAGGCAACAGACGAAGCGGCATTAAGCTGAAGATGAATAAGAAAAGGATAAAAATGGACACTGTTTTGAGCTGAAGATAAATTATGAATCAGAAAAGGCTAAAAACGGCACTAAGCTAGACTCTCTAGTCCACTGTTTCCCAGCGGGGTTGGTATTGACTCCCCAGAGTTTAATGAAATTATGAAGAGGGTCCTTGATGATTAAGGGGTTGATAACTGAATATGAGTAGCGTCTCGGCCTAGCATTGCATTTGCTTCACGCATGCGCACTGGCAACTGATCAGCATAACAAATCTCATTGACTACAAAAAATTAATAAAAGAATCATATTACAAAAAAGAATATTGTGTAATGGGAAAAAATCCTGAAAACAAATAATACAGAAAAACCGAAAAACTATTTGAATATTTTTACCCGGAGACATGTGAGGGATCTCATACCGGGGGCATCTTGTCCTATCTGAATTTAGATGTACAGTATGAAAAATGTTCTTCAACATAACCACAACCATTTTCTTTTACTACTACCAGCTATTGCAAAATACTTGAAATCTCCAAAGACATGAAATCTTATTTTATTTCACAAGAACACCTTGCAGAGATGATAACGATTGTAGTGAAATGTATTTGTGGTTTGTGCAAACGCAACTTAAATTATTTAGCAAAATTATCTTTATTAAAGAAAGTACAAAAGCAACTGCAACCGATATTGCCAGTGAAATTGAAAAATAAAAACAAAGCTAGATAGTAAATTTATGCTTCAAGAAACAGAAAACATTTTAGAATACTAGAAAATAATGAAATTATTAATCCTACAAAACATTTAATGATGCAAAAAAAAAATAAATAAAAACATTTTATGATTAAAAAATTGTACCTATTTATGATATTACATTTTATGATAGATGTTTTGCTTACACGGAGCTATGAGACAACAGTTTTGGCGGAGCCGACTCTGTTATTTGTATAAACAACAGTAAATTAACATGGGCTCAAACTGAAGCTTCAGATTAAAAAAAAAAAAATAATGAAAATGTCACAGATTATACAATGAACACGGATGTATTTTTTGAAGAATTAATGATTTCAAAAGCTTTTTGGTCAGCCAATTATAAAATGCATGTTTATGGATACACGTTTTCAGTCATTTCATTGAAAAATGCACTTCATTGTTCAGTCCCATTCAAATAAGCATGCCAAACACATCTGCACCAGTCCAAAGAGTATTCTAAATAATGAACATGCTATGGTATGCAGAAAGAGGTAAAATGGCTGAACCAAAGGTAAAAGCTTTAGTAAGTTGCAAAATTAATAGTGAACAAAAACTGCAGTGAATTTTTTTATGCCATTAAAAATAACAAAGAATTTTTAAAGAAACTTCACGGTTTAATCCTAGTATCCGGTGCACAAGGGATTTGCCGACTTTATGATTAGCAGTAAACAGGACATATACGATGAGTATTTAAACGGGTCATTTTGGTGTTGGCGATAATTTTCAAAATCGCATCAAGGATGCACCGTACACGAGGATTTTACCAAACTTCACACTAGTGAAAAATACTACTGAATGAGGTATGTTGAATCGCCAGAAATTTATTTTAACTCATTGCTGTATTTTGTAAACAACTTCTTTACTTGAAAGTAGTACCTATACTTTTTGGATTACTACTAAGGTAAGATAATGTAACCAATACGAAAAGAAAGGACCCAGTAGTTATTTTTGCTGAATGCCTGTTAAAAGATAAACTTTTATGATAAATGAGGATAAATTAAATATATTAAGCTCTCAAGAATAATTTGCCAAGGTCTTTTATGATACCTGTAAATATGAAATAAAAAAAAATTGTAAAATGAGGTTAAATTAATTGATTATGTCAAAAGGCTGAAGAGTTATTTGCTTAGAATGAGACATGCCTTTAAGGAAAGCATGAATTAAAAAAAAATAAAAAAATATGATAACGGTAAATATAAGATGAAATATCAAACAATAATACATTTGGAAATAAATGTAAAATACGGTTAACTGATTATTGCATGTTACAAAAAACTAAAACATTAATTTAAGCAACTCAAAAACATCAACACGAGCGAAAAAAGATAACGTCTATTTCCCTATACTGCTTTTAAAGTCCCCAGTAAGTAAATTCTCAGATATTTGAGCACAAAGCTCAACCCATATGCCATTTGGCTTAATCCTAGTATACGGTGCACATGAGAGTTGGCAAAATTCGGGTTTAAGAGACTAATAAGCGCGCCAATTGTGGTAACCAAGCCGATTTTAAATGCTCTGGAGGAGAGTGCATTTGGGGGCATTTTCGCGCATGCTCATTAAATATTTTAAATTGAGAAGTTTTGATTGGTGCAGATGGAAGAGAAGCATTATTTCAAACCATTGTTTGAAGTTCCGTTAATCTTCGGTCTTCGGCTGAACTGAATGAGAAAGGATAACGTATGTTCAGGTAAAATTTATTTATCTTTTATTTTTTGTATTTTTTAAAATAACAGTAGTGGTTCCGCCGAGTTTCTGATTGGTTAATATTTTTTAATTAATCGGTTTTTGGTCAGATACTGAATATGATTTTAGTTTGATAACGTCTTTTATTCTACAGTTCGAGTTGCTAACGTATTTTGTTCTACAGTTGGATAACGTTACTTTTCGATTATGATGTGCAGTGCTATGAATTGCGAATATTTAAACACGAAATTTTTTTGGAAGTTAGAACTGGAAGGAAAGCTTGCTGTAATTCAATGGGCAGTAGATGCCGGATTGCTGCCGAATTTTAAAAATCGCGCCATGGGCGCACCGTATACTAGGATTTGGAAGGAACGTTGGAGTGCTGTTAAGCGTGGGATGAAGGGGACGAAAAAGGTAAGCGAAGAGTTTGACTCTTATTTGGTGGAATATATGTGGCGGCGCCTGAAAAATAATAAATCGTCATCGAAAAATGAAAAAATGAATAAAGAACTTTAAATTATAAAAGACTTTATATTGCAATAAAAGCAATATATCCGCCACCCGAGTTTGAGGGCCATGGCATTTGAGTTATGATATAGACCCTAAAACATATGTGACACTGAGCCATGGTATTTAATTTATTATATTTGATATGTGAATGTTTTGTATTTGTTGCGATGCATGTTGAAAATTATATTTTTATTGTTATAAAGTCTGTTAAAAATTATTTTCAATTTATAAATGCTTGCTTTTTTTCTTGTGTCTCACCGTATGCTTAGGATTTATTATCTTATGATTATCATTTTGTTTACTTTTTTTGCCAACTCAAACTTGTGGTGACGCTTTACTTTGAGGTTGCCAAAAATTTGGCCACAAACGTAAACGCATCATTTTGGTGTTGGCGACAATTTTAAAATTCGCGCCAAGGCCGCACCGTATACTAGGATTTTACCTGCCATTTTAAGCATATAGCAAATAATTGCTCGCATAAGTGGGCAGAAAGTGACCGAATTTCACACATTCCGCAACACTTCACTTACGAATCGCAGAAATCTGAAATCATCGCCAAGCCAAACATACATAGATGTTTTTCGGCCAAGCGACGAAGGTTACCATGCTGAAATATGCCTACTGCGCATGCGTGAAGCAACTTCAATGCTAGGGCTAGACGCTACTACACAATTACCTTAGGATTTTTGCTTCATCTCTGCGCGTGCTCTAGCCACACAATTTCGCCAAGACCTCGTAAATCGCCAAATTTAGTCGCAGGTTGCGTTTCCAAGGGAGCAGTAAGTAAAAATACGCATCCAGATCAGAAATCGATTAAAAAGATGTTTCTACATCTTGACACTCGAGAATAAAATACGATCCGTGTGTGTGTCGGTACGATTAGCCACTACAGCGTCCAACTAGCTCAAAGGTCAGCAGTCGAATCTGTCCATTATGCAGCAGATTTCTGAATTTGACCATACCATTATTTGCAATTATTAGTAATTAACAAAACAGATTTGATCAAGGAATTTGTTCCTTTATCCATAAAATAATTTAAAATGTTTACCGTTATTGTCGCCTATGTCCTCATCCTCGATCTGCTGCTTTAGGTTAAATTGTTGCTCAAATTTTAAGATATTTCTTTGGGAAACAATGAAACGAAAAGAAGGAATGAAATTGCTTTCTGGCTGAAGATCGCGGCACCTCATGCCGACTCTTGGTTGACAGTTGCTAACTAATTTTTATGAAACTCTAAAAAAGGATTTAGTGCGATGTGAAGAAAATTTTGGACAGAACCAAACCTTTTCCGTGTCTTGTGAACAAAAATCGTGCTGTCCTTGCGAGTTTGAATTGTGACCAGATAGCTGCAGTCAGCATCTAAAAAGTGACCTAATAATGATTATATATTTATATACTACATGGAAATTAAATAGGATTTGGCAAGAGTCAAAAGAAATCCAATTAACTAAAATGAAGTAAGTTAAGCCCCGAGGTTTGACTGTAGTATATTTTAGGATTTTGGCAACAGTTCCTTGATTCAGTCTCTTTAACCTCCTTAATCGTACGTATTTATATTAAGCGTGAACTGTTAGATGATATAGCAGACATGTATAGTAATTTTAAAACAAATCATTTCTCGTATATATGTCTCATATATATGTTTAGTTTCTCGTATATATGTTAATCCATCATTTCTGAAATTTCAATGGAAGGTCTTCCTGGTAGTCTAATACAGTGGGTAAGTTTTAGTGAAATTTATATTTAAGTGTTGTTGTATATTTAAATGTTTATGATCTCTAATTTTTTTAGAAATAACACAGCAGCTGTAGATAAAAAAGAAAAATGGTATGCAATCGTAATACACCGGGATGCACAACAAATATGATGAAAGTTAATTTCCCAAACTAAATTGCGAATGCTTCGGTGACAGGAAAACTTCTTGATATTAATATCTTCTGATTTTGTCTAATAGATATTTTTTGGCTAAAGTGCAGAATCGCCCACTTATTTGATTGGCGCTTTTTACTAGAGTAAGAAGAATTGAATTTTTGTCAATTTTCTTTGACTTTTTAAGTGAAAATAGGTCAATGTGTACATGGATAAAGTCAAGGGAGTGCGCAATGCCATTTGTGCAATTTTGGGATGTTTTCGTAAGTAAAAATAGGTCAGTGTGTACATGGATACCGAGTATGTGCAATTCTTAAAAATGCTCCAAGCAGTGGACGATTCTGCAATTTCCCCTATTTTTTTTTTTTTTTTTTTTAAACAGAGTAGCAAATCATTCGTTTGTTGTAGGAGATGTTTACAAAATAAACACAAGTTGGTCCTTTGATATTTGCAAATATTATTTTCTTATTGCCATTTTTCGGGTTTCGTGTCAGTTTATCTTTGCGACAAGATTTGTTTAATCTTTGAATTATGGTAACTTGGCAAAAATTTGGCGACCAAACCCTGTTACAGCAACCTGCTATTTTTTTTTGGACGCCATTTTGTTTTCACGAAGTAAAGGCATATTTTTTTTTTTACTCAAAATTTTTTTCCGACAATCTGCTAGCCGAATTACGCTTATGCGAGAACTTTTATGGAACAAAAGGGCTTAATCACGATGAAGATTAGGTGCGAAATTGGGATAAAATGCAGAATCGCCCACTGCTTGCCGCGTTTTTAAGAATTGCACATATTGCAAATGTTTTTGTAACTTTGTCCTCAACAATAATTGATATCTGTGTTAAATTTGTTGGTTGATCTTTACAATATGGTAACTGGTAGTTTGGCGACATTTTGGAGGCGATAATGGTTACTACCTGGGACTTTGGTAATAATGTGAGCAGTACTCAGTTCCGATTACGCATTATTTTGCGTGAGGGAAATGAGAGATCATGGGATATGTCATGTGATATTAATGGACGAATTACGGTTCTTTAATCGGAAAAGGGGGGAAATCGGGAAAAAATGTGGATATTTTGTATTTAGCTTTATTCTGTGTGTGTGAAACAGTGTTGTTTAATTTTTGGATCCCATGGTCCTAAATAAAGTGAATTCGAAATGGGGTATTTAGGCATTGTGATAGAGAGAAGTTTGCTTTTATTTAGCGGAGGAAGTATGGAGAAAAATTCGCACAAAAAATCTTTCAATAATTTTATTGAAGAATTAGAAAAGTGTATCCGCCACACAATCAAGATTCTGAAGAAGCTTAGGTAAGTTAGTATTTTTAATTATTTGAGGATATTATTTTTATGCATTGTTCAAAATGTAAGGTGGAAAGGAATTGGTATTATTGGGAAAATTGTTATTAGCAATGATTTAAAGTAATTAGGATGTAAGGTAATTTTTATTAATTTAATGTATGTGCTCATTTATATTTTAAGTGTTTTTGAATTAATTATATTTTAATGAAATGATAGTTATTTTGTGAATTTTATGTTTGTAGGAATTTGGTATACGTTAAGTTGAAATAAACGTGCATGGAAATAATTTAAATATTTGATACTAAGTATTTGTAATGCTTGCGGTATGAATTCGTTTGGTGACGTGTATAATGTAATAGATGATTTAGAGGTAAAAAGTTTTTGGATATTTTATTTATTTCATATGTGGAAATGTTCATATTGTAAGGATAAATACTTTTTCGCGATCAGGTAATTCATATATGTTCTTTTTACCGGGTTTAAAGATTGAGAAAATTGTCATGTATTTTTGTGAAATTTTTGTAATTTATGAGAAAAAAGCAGCGTACATGGATATAGTGAAGAGTGTGCGCAATGCCATTTTGTGCAATTCTGGGATTTTTTTTAAGTAAAAATAAGTCGATGTGTACATGGTTTAGTGATATTTTAATTAAATGATAGTTATTTTGCGAATTTTATGTTTGTAGGAATTTGGTATACGTTTCAGTTGAAATAAACGTGCATGGAAATAATTTAAATATTTGATACTAAGTATTCGTAATGCTTGCGGTATGAATTCGTTGGTGACGTGTATAATGTAATAGATGATTTAGAGGTAAAAGTTTTTGGATATTTTATTTATTCATATGTGGAAATGTTCAAATTTGTAAAGGGTAAATACTTTTTCGCGATCAGGTAATTTCATATATGTTCTTTTTTACCGGGTTAAAGATTGAGAAAATTGTCATGTGTTCGTGAAATTTTTCTAATTATGAGAAAAAAGCAGTGTACATGGATATAGTGAAGAGTGTGCGCAATGCCATTTTGTGCAATCTGGGATTTTTTTAAGTAAAAATAAGTCGGCGTGTACATGTTTTATGTGTATGTGTTATTTTGAAAAACGCGTAAGGAATATGGTATTGTGCACTTTTTCCCAATTTTGCAGTGAATATTGTCATGATTAAGCAGTTTGTTTGATAAAATTTCTAGCATAAGTGTGTAATTAGGCTAGTAGATTGTTGGAAGAAGTGTTCAGTAGATAAAAAGAAAGAAACATGTCTTTACTTCGTGAAGACAAAATGGCGGCGGGGAAAAAAAATAGAGGGTTGCTGTAGGAGAGTTGGTTGCCAAATTTTCGCCAAAAAATCGCCAAGTTACCATAATGTAAAGATCAACCAATTTGTTAAGTTTTTCTAAAATAATATATGCAATATTCTCGGTTAGTATGGGAAAATATAGGAACAAATCCCAAAAATCTCTCTACTGGCTCCCCACTAAATCAGCACGATTATTGTTGATTGATCTATATGGGAAATATCAGGAGTCGCATCTATAATTATGGAAAAAATACTTCACAGTCTTCTAGTTTAGAGGACCTAACTTCATTTCTAAGAAGAGCAATAAATTCATTGCAAACCGCTGAAGAAATATAATTTACATTTCCACTTCCACTAATGTGTTGCTAAAAGGGGATCAAACTCACTAAGAAATTCTGTGCAGTTCAGAAAGTTCCTATTGCCTTTTGCCAATAATTTTGTAGCTGAGCCATATAAAGCCAATCTATTTTTTTGATAAAATTTTATTGCTACTACTAACCTTTTAAGAATATTTCTCCAATATTCTTTTACCTTCAGAGAATTTTCGCATTTGCATATCATTTTGACCTTCTACAAGTCCTCTGCTAACTGAAATTCTTATTGCCGAAATGTCTTCTGAAGAATTCCCGTGAGATTACTTAGATTTATGCTTATATTTTTCAGTCATTGAAGCCAACGGTAATAAAATTGATGCTTTTATTTGAAAATTATTTACACATGTAGCAATATGCTTGCCCTGATTTTGTGCTATATATTAACCATTCTCAAAGAACATTTTCACCATTAATCATATTATTCATTATATAAAATGATGAAATTTGTAATTGCTGAATGAAAATAGGTTATACAACTTAAGAAACAATAAGTTATATGAAATGCCCTTTAAGTTACTGCAATATGAGACACCATAAATAACCACATCATAAGATACTATAACTAAAGACAATATCATAAGACATATTACCAAGATAAATATAATTTGTTCCTTCTTTTACATCAATAATAAGTTTTTCTTTAAAAATTTTAGCAGTGAATGCCAAACCAAATTTATTATTGGTGCCTTTGATGCAAGGTCACACAAAGATAAACTTAACCTGTTAACTGGGGAATAAGCTTTCAGTAAAATCGTTTCCCAATGGGGACTTTTTCCTTTGCAGTATTTCAGCACATCGCAAGGAATAAATAAAAGAAATGTTTTAATATATTTAATGGTATTAAATATTAAAATCAAACATTTATCTGGAAAAAGAAATTAATTGAACAAATTTAAACAATTATTTCGTTGAGATTCCTTAAGCAGTGGTTCTTAACCGGGGGTGGGTGCGGGAAGGTATTTTTGGGGGGTGCGGGAGAAGCCCCTAACTACCATAAAAATTGTTAAATATCATTTATTAAATTTCTTATAATAAAATATTTGAAATCTGGAATAGTGTCCCCAATTTGCTCATAAAAATTGGTACCACCTAGCTCACTTATCGGCAAAAGACACAGGAAAGAGCCGGTGCCAATGGGCGTATACACTACGCTACGAAAAGGCACGAAATGCTACAAACGAACGTGAACAGGCAGCTAGGTGACGGAGAAAAGAAAAAAACTTTGTGGGAATACAAGCGGAGAACGTTATCCCAGCTTGCGCATGTGCTGAGTTCAATATATGTTCACAGTTACAACGTTATCCAGAGTTAGCGAACGGAGCACTGCAGTTAGTCTTACCCTTTGCTACCACCTACTTGTGCGACCTACTTATGGGAATTTCTTCGCTTTTGCATATAAAAACTAAAGCGAGAAATCGCTTAAATGCAAGCGATGACTTACGCGTATGTCTTTCAAAAAAGGAACCTCGCTTCGCCAGCATAATAATGAACAACAGACTAGTCATTAATAAAAATAATATTGTTTTCTATTTATATATAATGTACAATGTTTTTCAATAAACAATAAGTTTTGCAAAAAATGTATTTTCCTAGACCAAAAAAATTAAAACACATTTGGTGATCTTTAGATTATGGGTAACTTGGCGAAAATTTGGCGCGACCACTCTCCTACAGCAACCCTCTATTTTTTTTTCCCACCGCCATTTTGTCTTCCGAAGTAAAGACATGTTTCTTTTTTTTTTATCTACTGAACACTTCTTCCAAAATCTACTAGCCGAATTACACTTATGCTAGAAATTTTATCTACAAAAACTGCTTAATCATGACAAATATTCACTGCAAAATTGGGAAAAAGTGCACAATACCATACGCGCGTTTATA